TTTAAGGGTCTGTCAGAACATTAACACTTCTCAGACTCAGAAATAGAATCGTATTATTGCAGCTTTAACATAAACTCTCTTTCATAATGGTCTTAACGGGACGCACAGATGTCTTTTGGGACTGCAGACCTCACCTCTTTGGTATTTGGGGATGACATCAGGTCTCTCCTCAGTCTGGTCTGAGTCTGGGTCTGGGGTCAGGTCCTGGTCTGGACTCGGGTTCAGGGCCTGAGCTCATGGTCCTGCTGCAGCGCTGAGGCCTGTTTTCTGTATCACTGACGTCACAGATAATCAGAACAAAACGCTTTTCTTCAGTTTCGTCCTCGAAGGTTCAGGATCAGTGCACGACGCTGAAGAAAGTGGTTTGGAAAGATCAGGTTTAAACTGGTTTGGAACTGGTTTGGAACTGGTTTAAACCGGCTTTGGAATCAAACACTGTGGCTGTTTAATATACTGTGTGTGTGCGTGTGTGTACGTGTGTGTGTATGTGTGTGTGTGTGTGTACATTTATATGTGTGTACGTGTGTGTACGTGTGTGTATGTATGTGTATGTGTGTGTATGTATATGTGTTTGTATGTGTCTTCATGTGTGTGTGTGTGCGTGTGGGTGTGTATGTATATGTGTGTGTGTGTGTGTTCATGTTCATGTGTGTGTGTGTGTATATGTGTGTGTGTACGTGTGTGTGTACGTGTGTATGTTCATGTGTGTGTGTACATGTGTGTATGTATGTATGTGTGTGTGTTCATGTGTGTGTGTGTATGTTCATGTGTATATGTGTGTGTGTGTGTGTGTGTGTGTGTGTATACAGTATGTGTGTGTGTGTGTATATATATGTGTGTGTGTGTGTGTGTGTATATACAGTGCCTTGCGAAAGTATTCGGCCCCCTTGAACCTTTCAACATTTCGCCACATTTCAGGCTTCAAACATAAAGATATAACATTTTAATTTTTTGTCATGAATCAACAAGTGGGACACAATCGTGAAGTGGAATGAAATTTGTTGGATAATTAAAACTTTTTTAACAAATAAAAAACTGAAAAGTGGGGCGTGCAATATTATTCGGCCCCTTTACTTTCAGTGCAGCAAACTCAGTCCAGAAGTTCAGTGAGGATCTTTGAATGATCCAATGTTGTCCTAAATGACTGATGATGATAAATAGAATGCACCTGTGTGTAATCAAGTCTCCGTATAAATGCACCTGCTCTTTGATAGTCTCAGGGTTCTGTTTAAAGCACAGAGAGAACCATGAAGACAAAGGAACACACCAGGCAGGTCCGAGATACTGTTGTGGAGAAGTTTAAAGCCGGATTTGGATACAAAAAGATTTCCCAAGCTTTAAACATCTCAAGGAGCACTGTGCAAGAAATTATATTGAAATGGAAGGAGTATCAGACCACTGCAAATCTACCAAGACCCGGCCGTCCCTCCAAACTTTCATCTCAAACAAGGAGAAGACTGATCAGAGATGCAGCCAAGAGGCCCATGATCACTCTGGATGAACTGCAGATAACTACAGCTGAGGTGGGGATGGTGTGTTCAGGGTGATGAGCTGTGTTGCTTTTACGCCAAACATATCGTTTTGCATTGTGGCCAAAAAGTTTGATTTTGGTTTCATCTGACCAGAGCACCTTCTTCCACATGTTTGGTGTGTCTCCCAGGTGGCTTGTGGCAAACTTTAAACAAGACTTTTTATGGATATCTTTAAGAAATGGCTTTCTTCTTGCCACTCTTCCATAAAGGCCAGATTTGTGCAGTGCACGACTGATTGTTGTCCTATGGACAGACTCTCCCACCTCAGCTGTAGTTATCTGCAGTTCATCCAGAGTGATCATGGGCCTCATGGCTGCATCTCTGATCAGTCTTCTCCTTGTTTGAGATGAAAGTTTGGAGGGACGGCCGGGTCTTGGTAGATTTGCAGTGGTCTGATACTCCTTCCATTTCAATATAATTTCTTGCACAGTGCTCCTTGAGATGTTTAAAGCTTGGGAAATCTTTTTGTATCCATATCCGGCTTTAAACTTCTCCACAACAGTATCTCGGACCTGCCTGGTGTGTTCCTTTGTCTTCATGGTTCTCTCTGTGCTTTAAACAGAACCCTGAGACTATCAAAGAGCAGGTGCATTTATACGGAGACTTGATTACACACAGGAGCATTCTATTTATCATCATCAGTCATTTAGGACAACATTGGATCATTCAAAGATCCTCACTGAACTTCTGGACTGAGTTTGCTGCACTGAAAGTAAAGGGGCCCAATAATATTGCACGCCTCACTTTTCAGTTTTTTATTTGTTAAAAAAGTTTAAATTATCCAATAAATTTCGTTCCACTTCACGATTGTGTCCCACTTGTTGTTGATTCATGACAAAAAATTAAAATTTTTATATCTGTTTGAAGACTGAAATGTGGCGAAATGTTGAAAGGTTTAAGGGGGCCGAATACTTTCGCAAGGCACTGTATATATATGTGTGTGTGTGTGTGTGTGTCAATAACATCATATCTGGGTTTCAGATGACATCACAACATTCTGAAAGCCAATTGTTTTTATCACAGATGGTAAAAGTTCTACAAATATAGAAACTATTAAACTTCGTGTGAGGTCAGAGACTGATGAGAGAGATTCATACTTTCACTTTCAGACTTTTCAAATATATCAAGATTGGAAGTTTTTTGTTTTTTTTTTACAGCGTCAATATATTATGAAAAAGTACACACACTCACACATACACACACACCCACACACACACACGCAGACCCCTACACACACACAAACCCACATACACACACACGCACACACACACACCCACATACATACACACAGACCCACACACACACACAGACCCACACACACATACACACACACACACACACACACACACACACTCCCCTCTTCGTTGCTGTCCGTTGCATTTGTTCGTTTGTGAGTTTACCCATAAATATAATATTATTTTCCTTTAAAATGTGTAAAAGCTTATGTGCTGGATATACTTAATCTATCACGTCTTTGATTGACAGCTGAGGCTACACTAGAACTGTGCCACACAATTAAACTTAAACCTGTGTGTTTCAGACGGACAGCATCTTTGGGAGAGCGAGGCCAAAGTGGAGAGAGAGAGCGCCAAATCTGTAAGTCACTCCCAACACACAGAAAGTACTCGTTCAACAGTCTGACTCTGGCTTTAAACATGCAGTCAATGGTTTTTTCTGACGCATTTTTTTTAAACATTGTGGAAAACGTCCCTAAACCCTAAAAGTATCAAGTATCATGTGTTTTCAAATAGTAATGGAATTGACCAGATGTCTATAGTCTGCAAAGATTAATAAAACATATTTTGGAGCGGACCGATAAAAATAAACCAATGGGATTCGTTCATCTCCAACGAACCAATGGGATGTGTTTACCGCCTTCACCCTCTTCCTGTTTCTGTGTCTGCGTAGGTTTCCTCCGGGTGCTCCGGTTTCCCCTACCACTAAAAACATGCACAATAGTTCAGGGTGAATGAGTGTTTGTGAGTGCGACTGTGGGACAACGAATGGAAATGAACCCATGGTACAATCCAGAGTGATGTGTTCATGAACATGTACTGTCCCAACCAAATAAACTATACATAAAATAAAATAAATCATTACAAAATCTAACATCATGTATTATAAACAGAATATTCATACGGTATATTAAATTATTATACAGCTCCTCACAGCAGCAGGAGAACCATTGATGTGAATGTAATTTCAAAACGTTCTACCGGTCATTATTTTCTATAACGGACCTCTCAAAACAATAATGGCCGCTGCCCTTTGGCAACGCACTCTGTGCTTGTCTTTCAGATGCGTGGATAACTCCGCAAGTAGTTCCAGCCACTCCGGAGCTTTTAACGCTCATTAAACGCAAATGCCAATCAATCAACACCATTAAATGTTAATCGGAGAATACATTATACATATACTGTACATTCTTCACACAAGTGCACAGAGATTTTCAGAATTTTCTGTTAACGTTTTCATGACAAAAACACTGATGTAATGCGAGAAAAGGCAATCCCGAAAAACCCGGCAGTAGATACCGGCACATTTTAGGAACATTTGCGGAGGAAAATAAGTAGCTTCAGGGCGAAGTGCGCGTCGGGGTCCGCTTCGCCCTGAAGCTACTTATTTTCCAATAATGACCTGCGTAATATACGTTATCCCTTACATAGTCGAGGATGGGATCTCAGGGTTTTGCGTGTCTTGCATTTGAAAGATAAGATAAAATCAGTCAGATTTATGTAAAAGACAGAAGAGTGAAACATGTTAAAGGTTAAAAAGTCTGTGCAGGATATAGTTATGTACAATAAAAAGTGGCAAAGAAACAGTGGCAATAGCAGCATGTTTTTAGTTCTAGTGCCACTGACTTTGGGAGAAATAATGAACTATATTAGTGCCATAGTTTTAATTATAGATCCTCAAACTGAACCCTTCAGACGCGGCGCCTGCTCCGTGCTGCACTGAGGAAGAAGAATATTGCTTTTTTAACTCCAGACAAGAATCTGTGTTGAAAAGTTCGACCTAATGATCCTCCAAAGTACAATTCAGAAGTGTGTGATCTACCGTCGGTCAGAAACTAAATCTCCGTCCGGAGACCAGCTCCTGGGTCAGACCCGGGTTTAGCTAAACATCAGGTCCGTGAGCCGCAGCGTGAGTCCGGTTCATAGACTGGGCCTGGACACAGTCAGGACTTCATTACAGATCCTGGTGGTCCCGATCGGGGGTGTTTCTGTGGATCCAGCTTCAGGACAGAGAATGTTGTGTTTTTATAAATGTGTTGAAAAGGTTTTTAAAGGTTCAGTGTGTGATGTGAGGGTTCCCTGCTCCTCAGACCAAAGGAAGACAAAGAGATTACAGAGAGAGAAAGTTCTGCCACTGCTCACTTCAATCACATGTATGTTTGTGAAGCAGTTTATCTCAGAGGACTTTACAAAACTGTTGAATCCAGAGGAGTTATAGCCACTTATGCTAACATGCTACTGTGTTTAGCAGCGCTGTAGAGGCTAGAGGACGCAGCCTCGCTCTGAGATTGGAGGAGAGCGGAAGTCTCTACTCAGCACTTTTTACTGAGTTCATCCACAGCTGAATCAATGAGCTCCAGTTTTACATTAAATTACGGATTATAATACAACTCGTATGTAGTAATAAGCATTTTAATGAACTCATTAGAAAATAAATCGGGTTTAGTATATTTAAAGGGGACATAGCATGATGTCTCCTCTGACCGCCACATCCACTGTTATACTTGTTCTTTTCTGAAGTAAATACAGAATCAAACATTTCTCTTCTGTGTTGCTTCTCGTCGCTAATACAATCCTTTTTACATTTTCCTGCGTTTCTCTGTCTTCTCTCTGACTAAGTTCCTGTTCCCCGAGGCCTCTCTCCAGCTGGGATTGGTCCATAAGTCATTCTAAACTGGATACATCAGATTACACTCCTCACGGGGCGGTTCTGGTCCCGCTCCTCGCTCCTGTCCGAGTGAGGTATCGGTCCCGGTGTCTCTGAGGTCGTTTTGAGGGAGACATTGTTGAGTCTTTAATTTCCAAGAGATTTGGTCAAAACTGAAGGATTTCACACTAGTGCAGTATTTTACCTAAAAGTGACATTTGGAGTCTTTAGAATTAAATGCAGCTGCTCGGATTGAAAGTGCAATGCAATACTTCAACTACTACTAATACTGCTACTGCCACTGCTACTGCTACTACTAATACTGCTACTGCTGCTGTTGCTATTGCTGCTACTTCTACTTCTACTGCTGCCACAAAAATAAGTAAGAAGTGAATACATTTACCTCAGTCCTGTCCTACAGCCTCTCTCATTGTGGGCCTATCTCTAATGGACATTGGTCATCCCGCTCCCTGTGGCCCAATGGCTCCTCTGTGTTTGTTACAACCAGTGGGGGCAGGTCCCAGCTCAAAAGTGGCCAAAATGACGTGCGCTGACATGCTGCAGTACCACCCCGGGCCTGTGGGGGTGGACCCTGACATGCTGCAGTACCACCCCAGGCCTGTGGGGGTGGACCCTGACATGCTGCAGTACCACCCCGGGCCTGTGGGGGTGGACCCTGACATGCTGCAGTACCACCCCGGGCCTGTGGGGGTGGACCCTGACATGCTGCAGTACCACCCTGGGCCTGTGGGGGTGGATCCGGAATAAGAATTAGCCAATGCTAACATATAGCATCTTCTGACCTCTGGAAAACGTCTTTACAGGATGGTCCAAAGTTGTTTCTTGGCCCAAAGCTCCGTTCCACATGTGTGTCAATGCTGAGTGTTCTGGACCAGTCTAGTTTAGTCGCTGTGGACTTTAGAAGTCACTCGTTTAAATGAATGGAGCTCGTGCAGCTGACGCATGCACAGATGTGTTTTTTCACATTTTCCAGCCCCCGCGGCCATTTTTAATCACTCCATGAAAGCCCAATTTTTGGCACATTAGTTTAAACGGCGGAAATAGGCGTGACTGTCCGTTAATATACAGTCTATGGTTACAACCAAGCGCCGCTGATCCAAGATGGCGTCCTGTTAAAATGAATGGTGCTCAGTGGGACGTACACGGGCACCAAGAGTTTAGCGGAACTCGTCCATATTTGGGCATCTGGTCCACCCGGTTCTGATCAGTGAACGAGCGCCCATGATGCTTTGCGCAAAATACGTGTGTGTTGCTCTCATGCATGTGCACAGAGGAGTTTTTTGCAGTAAAGTTTGGATTTATAGAAAACTGGAGAATTTTAGAAAAAAAAAAGGTCAGTACGACAAGGGACACTAAAATCCCCACAGAATCAGATCTTTATGAAAGCTGTAGGTTCTCTGTCAGGTTCTCTGTCAGGTTCTCTGTCAGGTTCTCTGTCAGGTTCTCTGTCAGGTTCTCTGTCAGGTTCTCTGTCAGCTGAGGTCGATCTGTTTTAGTTTACATTGAGTTCTATGGGGCATTTCTACATGAATGTAGTCTGTAGAACCACAGCGCCCCCTGTGGCCATGAGTGGGACAGCTATAAGCTAGTTACAGTATACTCTATCCAGTTTTTATTATAGATCCATGGTTTATTATTATTGCATTTCCTGTGTTCACACTGTTTGATTTGTGAAACAGTTGTTGATGAATCGCAAACTTTGTGAAGTCTTCTGTGACGACTGTTGTGTGATTAGTGTCATTAGAACAATATCGAAAAGGCTTCACATTTTCTCTTTAGCAAATAGTTTGTTAAAAAGCCAGATATATTTTAGTGCCATACGTATAAAGTCTCACCCCTTCTTGAGCAAATTCTTTTCAACACCATGTTGAAGATTGTAACGAGAGGAACACTACTTTTTGACAAACTTTTAAAACCGCGATATCTGTTTTTCCAAATAACCTCTTCAGATAAGTCTCTACGCCGCCTTCTCGAACAAGTGTCCGTGTCCACTCTGTGCTGGCTCTGGGTTCTGGACCAAACCCCGAGACACGCTGTGAAAATACATTGTTTCTTTCTTCAAATATTTCTCCTTGACATGTTTGAGTCCGGTGAAATAAAAGCCCAGACGCAGGAGGCCGTGAGCATCTGGCTTCGATCGCGCTGAACCGTCTGCAGTCCTGCGTATGTCACCGCGGCCTCCGAAGATCCTCTCTGCAGACACACGGCTCACTCTCGGCGGTCTCAGATTTATGTGAATCCAGGACGTGACCTGCGCTCGTGTCTCCGCAGACCTCAGCAGCTCCCGGGCCTCGTTCTTCTGATTTGCAGCTTGGCCTCGGCTCCGCTGTCAAAGACGGACGAGCGGCTTCTTAAAGAGAACAGCGTGTCTTTGTGTTGGGTCGTGTTTTCAGGAGCAAGAAGAAAAACAAAGAAATATATCTATTCATTTCAATTATGGACAATACATCATGGATCACACTTACATTTGCAACAATCATCGTCCTGTCACACACATGAAAAGGGGAAGAAAGATGAAAAAACAAGAAGTATAGAGTTTGATTTGGGATTTTTTTTCCTGTAAATTTATACTGCAGTGATGTCACACGTTTTAACAGCCTCACTCGGAGAAAAGTGACAAAAGGTTGTTATCCAGTGCATTTTTAACATTAACTGACTTTATTCTTGTATTCATTAAGAAAGTGCTATCCATGTCCGTGTAGTGCAGTGGGATAAACGTCCTTTTGAAGAATAATTAGCGCAGATTTGTGCTGGTCTGACATTATAATTTAGATCGAGTTTTGATGAAACAAGGAAGAGATGTGTTTCGGGTCGCAGATTGTAACCAATCACAGCGGACCACAGGCCCCCACTTTCGTGAGAAATCTACAGGTCCGTTAGCACAGACAGCTGAGTTAGCACAACAAGCGGAGCTAACCTGAAACTTCCTCGTCTTCATCACCGGTTACTGCTTACACAGCGAGACAGCCATCCAAAAGAAAGTCTCGTTCCTCTGCACTTCCCGGTTCTATCGTTCTGTGGTCACGCCATCCACGTGCAAATCCATGTCCATGTATTATCCATATTGGGAGACGCTAGCTCCGTCCCAACAGTGGGTGTGTGTGGGGGCGATAGCTTCGTGGGTGCGGGGAGGGGAGCAGAAAGAGAGAGGCCAGCGAGTCCACGGCTTCAAAATCCCAAAGTCAGTTAGTGCAGCTTTAATATGAAGAGATACTTGCTTCGTCCCACAGTGAAATGTCAGTGTTGCAGCATAAGTTATAGACTGAGGAGCACACAGAGAAATGAACAATAATAAAAATAAAATAAAATCTCTGACTTTAGCAAAAGGATGCAGTCTCAAAGAAGAAATAAGTTGCATTATTTTGGGCCATGAATAATGATTGTATTTGTTTTTATATTTAAGAATGTTAAATGATATCAACGGTAAAAAAGGACAAAAATTGCTTTCCTCTGGTCTTCCTCTGGTCTTCCTCTGGGCTTCCTCTGGTCTTCCTCTGGGCTTCCTCTGGGCTTCCTCTGGGCTTCCTCTGGTCTTCCTCTGGTCTTTCTCTGGGCTTCCTCTGGTCTTTCTATGGTCTTCCTCTGGGCTTCCTCTGGTCTTTCTATTGTCTTCCTCTGGTCTTCCTCTGGTCTTCCTCTGGGCTTCCTCTGGTCTTTCTATGGTCTTCCTCTGGGCTTCCTCTGGTCTTTCTATGGTCTTCCTCTGGTCTTCCTCTGGTCTTCATCTGCGCTTCCTCTTGGCCTTCCTCTGGGCTTCCGCTGTTCTTCCTCTGGTCTTCCTCTGGTCTTCATCTGGTTTTCATCTGGTCCTTCTCTGGTCTTCCTCTGGTCTTCCTCTGGGCTTCCTCTGGTCTTCATCTGGGCTTCCTCAGGTCTTCCTCAGGTCTTCCTCTGGTCTTCCTCTGGTCTTCATCTGGGCTTCCTCTTGCCTTCCTCTGGTCTTCCTCTGGTCTTCATCTGGTCTTCATCTGGTCTTTCTCTGGTCTTCCTTTGGTCTTCATCTGGTCTTTCTCTGGTCTACCCCTGGTCTTCCTCTGGTCTACTCCTGGTCTTCCTCTGGTCTTTCTCTGGTCTACCCCTGGTCCTCCTCTGGTCCTCCTCTGGTCTCTCTCTGGTCTTCCTTTGGTCTTCCTCTGGTCTACCCCTGGTCTTCCTCTGGTCTACCCTGGTCTTCCTCTGGTCTTTCTCTGGTCTTCCTCTGGTCTTCATCTGGTCTTTCTCTGGTCTACCCCTGGTCTTCCTCTGGTCTTTCTCTGGTCTTCCTCTGGGCTTCCTCTGGTCTTCCTCTGGTCTTCCTCTGGTCTTCATCTGGTCTTCATCTGGTCTTTCTCTGGTCTTCCTCTGGTCTTCATCTGGTCTTTCTCTGGTCTACTCCTGGTCTTCCTCTGGTCTTTCGCTGGTCTACCCCTGGTCCTCCTCTGGTCCTCCTCTGGTCTTTCTCTGGTCTACTCCTGGTCTTCCTTTGGTCTTCCTCTGGTCTTCATCTGGTCTTTCTCTGGTCTTCCTCTGGTCTTCATCTGGTCTTTCTCTGGTCTTCCTCTGGGTTTCCTCTTGGCCTTCCTCTGGTCTCCTCCTGGCGGGACATGCCTGAAACACCTCTCAAGTGAAGAGTCCAGGAGGAATCCAGAACAAATGTGTGATTGTAAAGAACCTACAGTAATTTCACAATCTCAGATTTACCAGATACATTTTAACCATAAGCGGAATCAAAGCACACTTAAAAACAGATGTTAGTAAATGCAAATAAAGTTAACGGCTGAATTACAGAGGTTCTTAGCTATACAAAAAACAAGTTGAAGTTGGCTGGATGACACTGTGATCCCAAAGACTACTTTAGGTAGAGGGCCACAGAACATGACACCGTCGGTTCGCGGGCCTCAGTTTGGACACTCAGTTGTGATGGGCTGTTATTGTGAGCTTCCTGTTGATTCTGTTCTTCTTCTCTGATATCGACTGCTTCTGTCTCCTCAGAACACGCTGGTGGTGGAAGTCCCTCCGTACAAAAACCAGAGACTGTCTGCTCCGGTTCACGTCAACTTCTACGTTTGCACCGGGAAACGCAAACGCAGCCAGTACCAGCGCTTCACCTACGTCCCAGCCTCCGGTCAGTCATGTTGTTAGCTTAGCCGTAGCACCAGCTCAAACACAAATCCCCCCCCCCTCTCCACCAAACCACTCCCCCCTCCCCTCCCCTCTCCACCAAGCCACTCCCCCCTCCCCTCCCCTCTCCACCAAGCCACTCCCCCCTCCCCTCCCCTCTCCACCAAGCCACTCCCCCCTCCCCTCCCTCTCCACTAAACCACTCCCCCCTCCCCTCCCCTCTCCACCAAGCCACTCCCCCCTCCCCTCCCCTCTCCACCAAGCCACTCCGCCCTCCCCCTCCCTCTCCACTAAACCACTCCCCCTCCCCTCCCTCTCCGTATATATTGGACTGACTGAGAGCCGTCAGCATAGCCTTGGAAGAAGCTAATGTGAACTTTAGTTAGCCGGAACCAATTTCCTTATATGGGCATTTATTCTGACAATGTTTTGCCCCGTAGGAAAGCCAACCCTAACCCTGAGAATGAATGTAATTTGTCGATCTTCTGTGTGACACAAATGGTTAGTGAGCTGGAGGAGTTTACTTTTTAATTAAAGTCAGTAGGAGTTGAAGCAAAACCTGTCCATTAGCAATATTAGCCCTTTTGAGCTACACTGAGCTAGCGGGTTAGCATTGTCCATGTGTTTACAGTCTCTGATCAGACTTTATTTAGTTTTCTTACCCTCCGCGGCGTCCAACCCGACTGTTTTACCCTCTGTCTGGTGGTTTCTCAGGGAGGAACAAAGCCATGCCATTATTCAGGGAACCCTCAATAAAAAACAGGATCATTTCAGACCTGGCTGCAACGGCACTGGGTGTGACGGAGGGACCGGAGGACATGGGAACGGCCTGTGCTTTCAATAGAGAAACTGGGTCCAAGCTAAATATAACAGCAGCTCGAAAACGTATGAAAAAGTAATTGGCGCGGGTTTTGGAGTGGGTGGTTCAAAGCCTCATGACTCATCTGGACCCAGCCCACGGGCGACTGCTGTCCTAAAGTGAAGCATTGTGTTGTGGACGGAGAGACAGAGCAGAGGCTGTGGTCCCAAAAGTCCTCTGCGGGTCAGTGTTTAGGAGAAATGCAGGGAAAACATAGTGGTTTGGCGTCATCTGGCAAAACGTGTGTACAGAGCTCGGCGTGGCGCTGGTGGTTAGAATCCGGAGGGTGGCGTTGGGACTGAGAGGTTGTTGAAACTTTTGGGTAAACAGCTCGGCGGATTTGACTCAACTTCAGAATCAGGAAGGTATTGGAAGAGACAGAAGTGCAAAAAATACAGGCTTCCCCGTCGGAAACAAGACTGGAGTGGGTTTTAGCTCCGGCTGAAATACCAGGAACGTCTAGCACACGTTGCACAAACACGTCCCCCTCGTCCCTTCTGTCTAAATGGTCTTTTTTCAAACTTTGTGCATGTGACGAATCCACAGACCACAGCTCCCCAGTTTGCTTCTGCAACAGTCTTTGATACATCCCCACGGCTGGTCATTACATCGACTCAATTTCACTTCCTGTTTTTGTCCCCAGCTTTCATTTTCAGCCTTTTCTCAGATATATTTGGTTAATTTGCATGTTTTACTCTTGTGAATTCAAGTTATGTTTACAGATCAGAAGAGGTCCTTTCCTAAACAGACGTGTTTTGTTTTTGCACTGCGAAAAAAAGTCAAAAGTTTCTTAAATTTAGCAAAATGTATCTTATTTGAGCACATTCTGACTGCCTTAAAACAATATTTGCAAATGGGACAGGTAAATTGTTCCATTGGCAAATCTTGTTTTAAGACAGAGTACTTAAATTAAACAAGATTAAAAAGAACTCGATTCAAGACCTTATTTCCTCAGATTTTTTTTTTTTTTTTTTCTTTGCACTGTGGCAGTAAATGTGAAATAATTTGCTGAAGAAGGAATGAAAGTGTTTATGTCTGACACTGAAATACAATACAATTATACCTTAAAACAGTTTTTAGCCTTTTTGATATTTGTGTAATGTCACTTATCTGTTTTTGCAAATGAACTTTTCATATACAGAATTTATTTGAAGGTGTGTATTTGTAAAAGAAAGAAAGGGGAAAAACACAAATTGAATCCCCCTTTTCACTCTAAAAAATGATCATTATTCTTGGGTTCCATCTGACGTCAGGGCAGTGGTGAATAACAAACGTAGTACAGGACGTGATGTATCCTGGCGCTGCAGTCTGCCGGGTTTATACACGGAGATATAGTAGAAGAAGAAGTGGTTTATACACGGAGATATAGTAGAAGAAGAAGTGGTTTATACACGGAGATATAGCAGAAGAAGAAGTGGTTTATACACGGAGATATAGTAGAAGAAGAAGTGGTTTATACACGGAGATATAGCAGAAGAAGAAGTGGTTTATACACGGAGATATAGTAGAAGAAGAAGTGGTTTATACACGGAGATATAGCAGAAGAAGAAGTGGTTTATACACAGAGATATAGTAGAAGAAGAAGCGCTGTCAAAACACCATCTTTGTATGCGGTGTACGTTTGTAGCAACCGCACAAATAGAGAAAGACAGAGTTTGTTCATGTTCCAACTGTGGTCTCATATAAAGGAGGACACTTTGAAAAGATCACTGGAATGAGGCGGAGGTGGATCAAGGCTTTCCCAGATAAGCGCCCCCTGCAGGCCACCCCAATGAAACACGAGTGATTTATTTTTCTTTTTTCCAAAAATGCCCGAAATCAAGACTCTTTTGATAAATATTTGTTAGTGCTGCCTTAGAATTGAGTGTCCCCGATTAAGACTGTTCCAACAGCCGTAGACCGCACAGGAGGAGAGCCTTTGACTCCAAAACAGACTTTACATGGTTTTACATGGAGCAACACTGTCCCACCTCTGCTCATGCGCCCCCTACAGGCAGGTTCATGAAACACAAGAATTGGTCTGATTGGTTGGCACTGTGACCAAAATAGATTGATATATATTTACAGGTGATTTATTGACCTCTACAAGTTACATGTGTCTAGACTGACGCTGCTTGCATGTCAAAGCCTGATCATGTCTTACCTCAAAAGCAAAGCAGGGCAGGTTCTTGTTATGACTCTGATGGGAGACCTCTGAGAACTTAATTTAGGAAAATCTGGAGAAAACTGGAGAAATTCCCAAAACTAAATTAGAGGCACATTTGTTATTACTTGCACATAAATGTATTTCCTTTCTTTCCATGTGTTACGACTGCAGAGCTCATAAAATGGGCTTTAACCAAACAATATAATCATTATGTATAGTTTATTTGTATCGTTTCACACAGTTTGAAGCAGAAACTCTGATATAAACTGTGGTTCTTCACCTGTTCTGTCAGGAGTCTGTGTGCTGCTGTAGAATCATCTGAGTCCGGTCCCACATGTGGCTCCTGCTGCTGCGACTATTGCACAGAGAGACACGTTTTGGAGAATTGACACGATCGTAATTCCAACTCAAACAGGACTTTTAGTGTCAGAACCGCTGGAAGTTTCTCATGTGGATGACTCAGAGCTTTTATGGGTTTGGAGTCTTTTCAAAGTAGCAGCGATCACCACAACACCACGTCCAAGTCACTGTTTCAGGCTCACTGCGGCTATTCATCAACCGCCTGGAGCTTCGCCAACGCAACACGCAGCAATTAAGACATATTTAGTGATTTCTCTTTTCCACCACGTTATTAAAAGTAAATCATTTGTTTCACTTTTTACATTTACTCTCTTTTACTAAGTGTTCATATAAAACTGTTCATTTAACGGTAAAAACTGTTGTTGAAAGGATCATGCTACAGAGCTAATGCTAACTGCACTGGTCCTTCTCTGGTGGAAAACCCAGTGGACTTGGCTCAGAATCAGAACCAGTTCACACCAAGTCCAGGACCAGTCCAGGACCAGTCCAAGACCAGTCCAGGACCAGTCCAGGACCAGTTCAAGATCAGCACCTTGAAAAACAGGTTATAACCGTCAGAAAGTTTGATCCCAAGCAACAGAAAATGGCAATAATTGAATTTCAGTTTTAAAAATGAAACAAAAAGTCAAACCTTTAGAAACAGAATAAGACCATAGTGAGTTAGGAAGACCATAGTGAGTTAGGAAGACCATAGTGAGTTAGGAAGACCATAGTGAGTTAGGAAGACCATAGTGAGTTAGGAAGACCATAGTGAGTTAGGAAGACCATAGTGAGTTTGGAAGACCATAGTGAGTTAGGAAGACCATAGTGAGTTAGGACCAAAGAGGGCGTGTTCATAACCGGGAGCTTTATGGATGTAATTCTGAACACATTCATATCGCGATAAATCGACTTTTACATGAGCTCTTGTATAATTTTTCGTGCTCCTTGTTTAGCCTCGCCCAACTGTGTACATGTAGCATTCAACAGCGTCACACAGGCATTTTGGCACATATGAAGAGGTGCATCTGTTTGATGTTGTGAATTGTTTCGGAGCAATATTGAGAAAAAACACAGATTTTTACCTATTTTACAACATTGTTCAATCACTAACATTCCTGGAGGTGTTTTTTTGTTTTTTTTTTACTTTTTTTGCGACAGTGGCTCAGTTGGTAGAGCATTGGCCTTTGAGCCTGAAGGTTGTGGGTTCGAGCCCACCGTAAGACCTACTCCACGACTCCCACTGATGACTGCTCTTGTTGTGTCCTTGGGCAATACACTTAACCCCACTTTGCCTGAAGCTCCCACTGAAAGATCTCAGCTCCTGTGGACTCAGCACCTGCAGGAGGATCAGTGAGGGGCTGGTGCTCTGTGACTGGGTGCAGCTCTGACTGCCACCCCCCGACCCAGACATGGATTAAGGGGAAGAAAATGGATGGATGGACAATGCTGAGACAGTATGTCATGTGAAATGTCTTTCACTGTCCAAAAAAGTTTTTTATTAAACCAAAATCATATCAGTGCTTTGATTATAGATGTTTATTGATACAGTTCATTTGGGACTTAAGAACCTCTCTCTCTCCTCAGTCCCGACCATAAAGACCGAGCCCCGGGACGACTTCGACGGCTCCCTGGTCTGCCCCCCCCTCCCTCTTCATCCCAAACCGTACTTCCCGACTCCCGCCCTGACTCCCATCATCCTCAGCGGCCCCCCCTTCCCCTCCGCCCCCCCTCCCCAGCGGATCACCCTCAAACCTCCCCCGCCGCCCCTCCCCCCGGCCTCGCCCAGCCTGTCCCCGAGCGCCACCACGCTCAGCCTGCCGGTCATTCAGGAGACCCGCTTCGCCTCCAGTCCCAGTCCCAGTCCTAGTCCCAGTCCCAGTGCCGAGGGGTTCCCCACCGGTCTGCAGCCCGAGCCCAGCCCCACCCCCCAGCCCCCGCCCGAAGACAGACCCCGGGACCCGCAGGCCGTCAGCATCAAGCAGGAGCCGCAGGAGCTGGACCAGATGTACCTCGACGACGGTGAGCGTTGCTTCCTTCTCTTTTTTATACATTTTATTGTTTTTATTTTCATTATTTAAAGGCCTGGCAAACCGCGACAGACGGACAATACAATTCATGCCCCAAGTACAACCACAAAATGTCCACTGCATCCAACACAAAACATACAGGCAGTTCCACTTTGTTAAATTTGGTTATTCTTTTTTCAAGGCTTAAAGGTGCAGTGAGCCATTTTGTTAGCTTAGCCATAGCACCGTCTCCAAAACCACACACCCCCCCCCCCCCTCTCCACCAAGCCACTCCCCCCCTCCCCTCCCTCTCAACCAAACCACTCCCCCCCCCCCCCCCCCCCCCCCTCTCAACCAAACCACTCCCCCCTCCCCTCCCTCTCCACCAAACCATAGATACGGTTCTTTACCGTGTGCCATAGACTAAATGTGTTTAGTTAACCCGGGTAAAGCCTGATCCCTAAGCTAAGCACGACAGAGCCTTGTTTGTACCGTGATGGGAGACCTCTAAGCAGGACAGGGCCTTGTTAGTACCGGGATGGGAGACCTCTAAGCAGGACAGGGCCTTGTTAATACTGTGATGGGAGACCTGTAAGCAGAAGAGGGTCTCGTTAGAACTGTGATGGGAGACCTCTAAGCAGGACAGGTCTTGTCAGTACCGATGGGAGACCTCTAGGAACACCAGGTGCAGCAGTGACTCTTTTCCCAGTTTGCTCAGTTTGAGTCTGGTCTAGAGTCTGGTCTAGAGTCTGGTCTAGAGTCTGGTCTAGAGTCTGGTCTAGAGTCTGGATTGTATAAGGATAATTATTCATAAGTGGGAATAGAACTCTGCTACAGTACCTCTAACATCCAGGACTTTCACTTGAGTTCAGTTTTGAGTTGTTTTTGACACTGGGCTTCGAGCAAAAGACATCATGCTTTTTAATAACAACATATTTTGGTCTGATTTCTGCTCAAAATGTGACTCTTCTGTTGGAAAAATTGACCCCAGTTTGACCTTTACCGTACAATATTCTTATTGTAAAGTTTTGGCAAAGAAGTGGTCGGTCTGTGTTTTATTACGAACACATTTGTTTGAGGGACGCGAGCTCAGAGCCGTGTGTTTTCATTTGGGGTCGTTGCTCTGCTCCAGGAGATTCAATAAAGAACCTTTCGCTGCTACTTTGGGGTTTGAAGAAGCTGCCCAGAGTTGGATCGCTTCATAAAAGTGGTTTCCCTGACCCTTGACCCCTGACCTCTGACCTCCGACCTCTGACCTCATGATGTCACTGTTTGGGATTTCAAAATAAAAATGTGGAAGTGCAGAGAAATAGTTGTTATTAATGTTTGTGCTTTTTGTGTTGACCGATTATGCTGTGGACACAAAGACGTCCTGAACACACACACAGACACACACACATAGATACACACTCACACACAGACGCACACACACACACAAGGAGACAGACACGTTCCATGGCTTATTTCAAACTAACTTTCCAAAAAACCACATAATACATTTAATACAGTTCAAACACACAGTAACTGGACTAGTTTTGTAGAAGAAAATCATCTCTGATCTCAATGAATTCATATAATCATGTTGTAAATAATGCATTTGAAAATATCCACAGACGCCAAGATGAGCCTCAAACACTTTTTCCCGACCAACATGGGTTCGCAGCCCTGGTTTAGACGTATCTGAGTTTCTGAGCTGCTTTGATTCTTTCCCAAACTCTGCCATTGTTTTGTCTAGACTCAGACTTCCTGGTGTGTGCTGCTCCTGGACACACACTGATACTGACACTCACACGTCCTGTCTGCTACAGCCGCGTTACAGCCGCAATACAGCCGCGATACAGCCGCGATACAGCCACGATACAGCCGTGATACTGACGGGATACAGCCGCGATACAGCCGTGATACAGCCACGATACAGCCGTGATACTGACGGAATACAGCCGCGATACAGCCACGATACAGCCACAATACAGCCGCGATACAGCCGTGATACAGCCACGATACAGCCGTGATACTGACGGGATACAGCCGCGATACAGCCACAATACAGCCACAATACAGCCGCGATACAGCCACGATACAGCCGTGATACTGACGGGATACAGCCGCGATACAGCCACGATACAGCCACGAGACAGCCGTGATACTGACGGGATACAGCCGCGATACAGCCACGATACAGCCACAATACAGCCGCAATACAGCCGCGATACAGCCGCGATACAGCCACGATACAGCTGTGATACTGACGGGATACAGCCACAATACAGCCACGATACAGCCACGATACAGCCGCGATACAGCCGTGATACTGACGGGATACAGCCACAATACAGCCACAATACAGCTGCGATACAGCCGCAATACAGCCACGATACTGACGGGATACAGCCACAATACAGCCACAATACAGCCACGATACAGCCACGATACAGCCACGATACAGCCGCGATACAGCCACGATACAGCCACGATACAGCCACGATACAGCCGCGATACAGCCGTGATACAGCCGCGATACAGCCGTGATACAGCCACGATACAGCCACAATACAGCCGCGATACAGCCGTGATACAGCCGTGATACAGCCGTGATACAGGTCCACCAGACATGGGCCTCAATGCTTATACAGTAGAAAGTATATTACACATGTTTTATGTTTTATAAAATGATACCTGTGTTTTCCTCTGGTTTAGGTCAGTTACTGTGTAGTCTGGTCTCCGTCTTTCATTGTCTTGGACCCAGTCTTGTTTTACAACTGTTTCTTCTTGAAGCCATTACTAATTGTATCTTTTGGTGGGTCTGTTGGTACATCCCGGTGTAAGTGTTTATTTACTGCTCAGTTGCTGTATATTGTTGGGATGCATTTCTCAGATGTCTCGCCGTCTATGGTTCCTCTCCCTGAGGCATTGTCCCAATCAATAATAAACACAGGTACATATTATATTATGCAGCAACTGGATCTTCGTTACCAGGACAGGTGGCTGAGTGGTTAGCACTCTCACTTCTCAGCAAGAAGGTCCTGGGTTCGAATCCGGATCAGAACAGGGTTCTGAGTGGAGTTTGCATGTACTCCCTGTGTCTGGTTAGGTTTCCTCCGGGTACTCCGGTTTCTCCTACCACTAAAAACATGTACAATATGTCTGTGCCTGCTGTACTGGCCCCTCCCATCTCTGTGTGGAGTGAGAGACTGATGCCCACATCTGTAAACCGCTTTGACGTCCTGAACACACACACAGACACACACACATAGATACACACTCACACACAGACGCACACACACACACAAGGAGACAGACACGTTCCATGGCTTATTTCAAACTAACTTTCCAAAAAACCACATAATACATTTAATACAGTTCAAACACACAGTAACTGGACTAGTTTTGTAGAAGAAAATCATCTCTGATCTCAATGAATTCATATAATCATGTTGTAAATAATGCATTTGAAAATATCCACAGACGCCAAGATGAGCCTCAAACACTTTTTCCCGACCAACATGGGTTCGCAGCCCTGGTTTAGACGTATCTGAGTTTCTGAGCTGCTTTGATTCTTTCCCAAACTCTGCCATTGTTTTGTCTAGACTCAGACTTCCTGGTGTGTGCTGCTCCTGGACACACACTGATACTGACACTCACACGTCCTGTCTGCTACAGCCGCAATACAGCCGCAATACAGCCGCGATACAGCCGTGATACTGACGGGATACAGCCGCGATACAGCCGTGATACAGCCACGATACAGCCGTGATACTGACGGAATACAGCCGCGATACAGCCACGATACAGCCACAATACAGCCGCGATACAGCCGTGATACTGACGGGATACAGCCGCGATACAGCCACGATACAGCCACGAGACAGCCGTGATACTGACGGGATACAGCTGCGATACAGCCACGATACAGCCACAATACAGCCGCAATACAGCCGCAATACAGCCGCGATACAGCCACGATACAGCCGTGATACTGACGGGATACAGCCACAATACAGCCGCGATACAGCCGTGGTACTGACGGGATACAGCCGCGATACAGCCACGAGACAGCCGTGATACTGACGGGATACAGCTGCGATACAGCCACGATACAGCCACAATACAGC